CCCCCCCGTTGAAAAAAATATTCAATTTGTTTTTGTATAATATAAAAAATCATTAATATAGTTTATATTTTATTTTAAAGTTTGGACCCCCCCCGCCATAAAAATCCTTTGCTAATTTGCTATTTTTTTGTGTAATGGAAATTAATACAAGAAATGCTGCCAAAAGACATGTCCTTCTAGTAAACAAAACAACCTTGGGACGTTTATCTTGATAAATTGAGAAGACGAAAATCCCTTTGGACAGTCGTTGTGTAACAATAGACATGCTTCGCCGGGGTATCAAGGTTATTTTGATTATTTGAAGATGGAAACTACTGCTTTATGGAAGAGCAAAGTTCAATGCCACTGACACAGTTATGACGTTTTTAGAGGGGTGACTCGCTAGAAGTATTCGCCGTGACTCCGGACTTTTCATTCGGATTTATACAACACTTACTTGTTACTATCAAGAAGGTTTAATGTCTTGTTTGTATTTGCACAATGTGAATGAGGGGTTAATACGATGTTCTCATGGAATTGTTAAATCTTGGTATCATTTCAAACTGTCACCAAACTGTACGTTTTGACGACTCGTATGCACTTCATATTTTTCTGGAAACTGTACAGCAAATCACATATTTTTCTTATTAATTGTTCATAGTTTTTCTAAATTTAAGTTTTTATTGCTCATAATTATTTACAGTAATAACACATTTTTCCGATTGTGTATATGACAGCTTTGCCCACTGTCACACGCAACGTAATATTACCGTAATTGGTATAGTACAGGTGTGGTGGTTCAAATACCAAAATGGCAACAGTAACAGAAAGACTTCCCTGGCGGCGATGATAAAATACGAACACGGAGCCAACAGATGAGGTTCAACTGGTACTGGTATTATTATACTCTGCAAACATCAAGTACAATAACGCGGTAAAACTCCACTACTCCAATGACTAGATACTTAAACTCCAATACAATTCAACGAGATCTCCGATCTGATCTCAGTGCTGAACAACTCTCCTGTATATACCCACACTGTCTATAAATAGACCATTACATCAGCATACATAATGAGTCTGGAACTTACTACAAATTTCTAGAATGTTCCATTACCTTCTATTGCCTCCTACAGTGTTCCATTACCTATTCAACCAGTTTCTAAACAAATCTAGAATATTCCACCCAGACACAGTACGGTTCTAGAACATTCTCAGTGACACGGAAGTGGTAAATAAGTCGTATGCGACACCCACACACAATAAGACAGGATGATATGTACGGATATGTGTGAGTATGTTTCATGGATTAATAGGCCACTCCTTTGCTTCAATTCCAACTACATTTCTGAAAATATCGCTTGCTGTTTATCATCCCTATTTTGATATCCCACAATGTGTCGATTGCGTCACGGTATCTGGAAATTCTAACTACTATTTCGCAAAATTTGACCAGCCTTGCTTCTACCAGTCAGTTAAGTCAATTCCCATATTGTCCTTCACAGTGAAGGTTAATTCAGATATATTGTAAATTACACAGAGGTAACATTACAATACATTTCCCTTCACTTTCCCATGTATTACATAACAATCTTTGAGCTGAGGTAGTTATGGTTCTACAACCATCACCAGTTCTCTTGTATCAATGTGGTTACATGCAGACGTTGTGCAGTGTGTAAGATTATCAAAGAGAGCGCCACCAAAAACGTTCAAACGTAGATGCATTATCAGACATTGAGGGCGCAATAACATATATCTTACCATATAATCACCGGTTTTGAATATTTGTACATATACAGTCAGACAGCATTAAGTTTGCAGTTCTGCACCACAAGACATAAACTGAATGTGCTCCTGTGTAATTAATTGCTAATTCAATGCAAATTAATTGAGATGTACGGTAGCTTATTAGAGCCATTGATAATTTTGTCAATTTCTGACATTTTCACTTCACAAGCCACCATAGAGATGAGTGATTCAAAACTGATTTGATATACAAACCTTCAGAGATGTTTGTTGACATTTTCTATTATTGAGTGATATAGAAAAACAAAGTTGTAATTATTGTGCAATCAACTAATTATATCAGATCAAGGTCATGACATCACTAAAAACCCTTAGTAGCATTACAATCTAAGCTAATTATTTATTCTGAGCATGCTCAGTTGTTCTCTCAGTGATGTTGGGAGAGGTAGTTTTTGATGAAAATCCTGAAAAAGACCCACTTAGGATTTTCAGATCTGGAAAAAAAAATTGCATTTTCGGCAGAGACTTGTTCATCAACCTGCCAAGTTTCAACAATATCTGCTGCAGAATTTCTGAGAAAATGTTAGAGACGTCACAGACGAAAAATTGATATAAGAATTAATAGTCCGCCTTTCAGGCTCATGGCTGCACCTGAAACAGGGATTAAAAAAGTCAAAACATGAATTATAAATCAAGTAAGGGTTATACCCTTTCATTTATTTTTCGAAACAGTCAACTGAAAACTAAAAATTACATAAAGTGTTTTTATAAAAGAATGACTCAATAGTGGTTTTCCTTAATTAAGGTTGATCAATACACTTTTCAGAAGTACATAGTTCAATATGTGAGGAAAATATAGTGACCAATATTACAAGTCAGTCTATGCTGTGGAAGTTTCTTGTTCCATTGCTTTGTTTCTTTGTATTTATTCTTTACAAAGATCAACAGGCAAACAATTAGAGGATACACAACACATTGAACGGATAGGCCTTATAGTCCCTATCTGATATCACATCATTCTCCCCTGCTATAAGTGTTTGCTAGTTCAGAAAGAATGTTTAAATTATACTGCAGTGTGAACAGACAGCTGTTCAGATCAAACATAATTAGCCTCCCTGATGAACCAGATAACTGCATCGTGCTAATGAATTGATGGATTGAATTGTTTTTTGATGAAATTAATGGTCAACTCAAATACACTGCATTTCAGGTAAAACTGTAAAACTAAGTAACCCAATTACATACACATACAATTAATACCCTGTATAAAAAATACTTCCGATGATACATTGTTATTACAAAACTTTCAAAAGACCAAAATAATTGATACAAATTGATACAAGGTAGTCCCAAAATTCATTTCCAAGTATGACATAATATCAGTGTAATCATACTCAGGAGTACCTACCCCAGTACAGTTCATTTTTAAAGAATAACATTAAAACAATAAAGCATAAAATTAAGAATTTATGTATTCATAGATTTTCTTCGTTTTGATCAATCAGTCTAGCTATTTTAGACCCTTATCAGTGATTTTGGAACTGGTATGTGACATGTATGTACTGTATAACAGTGATTGATACTGTGAATATTCAGACTGAGTGGTAAATATGTCACACATGTTGTTATTCACCATTAGACCAAATATTGTATTTATTTTGATTATAGACACACCTCTGTTGTTTACTTATGAACTACCAATAAAGCAAATACTGTAGCGTAAATAAAATATGATTAACCGCAACAATTGCTTTTATTCTTCTAAACTAAACTGCAGAAACAGTATTTGAATATATCGTAATTAGCGTATATTTGTATGACAAAATTTAACAGCACATATCAGTCTACTCAGAGCCATGCACAAATTATTACCATAGAGTTTAACTGTAACAGCATATTATCTCCTCACAAAAAAAATGGATTAACAGTACTTGTTTAAAGAAAATACAGTATATGAAATGGATTAAACTGTGTATTTTTCACCACTGTTACATACAAATAGTTTTGCATAGTTACTGGTTACTAGGAGAGGTATGTGTTATTTATTCTGGCATCCAACACTTAACAGGATTCACTTATATATTATTGAAAATGATACAGTCTTCATTGATATTTTTTAAAAGTGTTGTCTAACACTAGACATCCAAAAGAAAAGGGTAGATTAGCTAAACAATGGTCATCTTGAATTTAATTATGAAACATGTGTGACCTGATGTATAATGTACTTGCAAAGTTTGAATGTGATCAAGACATTAGATATGGCCCTAGAACAGCATTTGTCACCAGTGAGCCACTTTACATTCAATCTGGTAAAAAAGGGCATGGATCAATGACCCAATATGTTCAATGGACATACTAAGTTTGAATTAAATGAGATCAAGTTCCAGAAGGGCACAAATGATTGATTTTGATGATTTTTTTAGCATTAAAATGGCAGTTGCTCAGCAATCTTGAATTGTACCATGAAATAAATGCGCATGTGCATATATGATACAGTTGTATAATGTAAGATGTGTATGTCAAGTTTGAATGTAAGTGGCCCAGGCATGTCTGAGATTACAGGTGTGGACGGATCAACACACAGAGGTGAAATATGTTCTGTTTTTTTTTTAACTCATCTGAACTTGGACTACAATACATGCTACAATATTAATGCCACTTTTGAGGCCAAACAAATATGTTATGGCAGCATACGGCACTATGAGCCTTAATTTGGGAACATGGCTAAACCACCATGATGTAATATCCAGAAATTGATTAGTACCTAACAATTGAACAATTCCATAAGCTTAGTTGTCTCTAATGAAATGCACCATGGGAGTCCCACAATATTAATGTGGTTCATTAGAAAATTAATGACAAATTCATATATTTTTCAATTACATTTTTGGGTGCAATCACCTAAAGCATTTATTACTCATTTATAAAAATAAACATACCGGTAGTCATAATCAAAACTGAAAATCACATACAGTGTAAATTGAGTAGATTAGCAATTTGCTTAATTAATACTGTGAAACAATTCGTTATCCAAAAATTACAACTCCTAAAATTCAGCAAATCAAACGTATCATACTATCTCATGTGAATTGTTATACCATTTTGATAAGATGTTTCCATGCGTTAGGTGTTCTCCTGCTGTAGTGGATTGACGATTGTCAATTCAAAATCAAATTGCAAAATGTGTTCTGATTGTCTAGGAGTTGAAGTGCCACTGTACCTATACCCTGTCATGTTCAATGTGGGTACCATGCAACATATACAATCAATGTGAAAAGTGTTGTGTGTTCACACGTGTGTTACACAATGACTGTGGCACTTGGCAAAATCCAGAATAGATGGACTATGGTTGAATTTGCCATACAAAGAAACTAAATTGATCATCACAAAATCACAAAAAGCGAACACTTTTTGTGGCGCATAACACTGTGATCACACTACCATCGTGAGAACACTTAATGCTGTCAACATTTATAATGTATTTAATAAAAAATATAACTAATCAAACACTATCACTTAATCAATAATTTATGATTAAACCTCAATTGCAAATTTCAGTTACTCAAAAACGTTTTTTTCTTTTGCATTTCATACTAATACATCAAATAGGATTTTAAGAATATTTACAAAAATAGTCCAAAGGAGACTCTCTTCTCCTGTTTCATAGTGCTGATTTTTGGAATTAGACAGTTCGGAAGAATCCACTTTATCCACCAATACACTTAACCGATACGAAGACTCCATACACGAAACATGGCCATAAACAGCAACGCCAATTGGACGAGACATTTCCATAGGTATTTCCACTATGTCTTGACCACATGTTGCTGATTGCAGTTCATATTCTTCAAAAGATGGAGCCAGTGTTAAACTTGAGATATAAATATCAGCATCCCCTTCTAAGGTATCTAGTACAAGGGCCATGGCACCTTCTTTTGCCAATCTATAGTAGGTATAGTTGCCGGCGCCAATCCTGCCAGAAAAGCCATGTATTAACTGTTGTCCGTAACACAGCGGACCAATAAGAATCAGAATAAGGCAGATGTACAAATACAAGCTGTTGAATAACATGCAGGTTACCATAGTAACATTGGATATGTACCAGGATATTGAGATCTGTTGAAAAATGAAACGATAATAAAGTTTATATATTGATAATATTCAGAGATAAATATTCTGCAAAGAACATGGAAGTAGACCTCTGAGAGTAACTCCTACCACAAGCATATATTGGTATAGAAACGATTTTAAAATGGGAATAATGATTTGTTATTTTTCTGAAATTTTCTGTTGACAATTTTTGTATTTTAACAATAATATCAAAAAAAATTGTCAAACTTTACAGTGATAATAAAGTATTTTCATGAAAAGGATTCATATCTTTAAAAGAAAATGACTGAGAAACTTCCATTTATATATTTAATTTTGTATTCCTTCTTGTGAATGCGTCGACACGACTCGCGATTGTGAATGATATTTGAAGCAATAGAGAGATGCTGTGAGTTCCGTGAAAGTAGTCTGCGTCCCTTTTCACACATTGTTTTGTTGGGTCAAGCGTAAATCTATCGTCCAGGGAATCAGAGCATAAGCTATGGCTGATGCCTGTATTTTTTATCGTGGAGTTAGTTTTATAAAACACAGTCTTACCTCGGGTTCAGGTTCTGGCCGTTCTGATTGTATGAACAAGAATTACGCGCGATATTTGTCAAACATCTCAAATCAGAGTAACAGGTTATATTCTCCGAGCTGGGCAACTTCCGCATTTCATCCTCGATCCCATATATATATAAAATATGTTTTCCTACTCGAAAATTAAAACAATAAGCACTTTTTATTATTTCACATCCTAACAAAACTCTATTTATAAAACCATTTTTTTAGATATCCAGAGTAAATAATGTAAGTTTCTATAACTGCTCTACTCTTCCGTTAAGTGCATAAACCTCTATGGAACGAGGCTACCGTAAGTCGTGTTTCTTCTTGCATATTGTCGCAAAAAATATTCAACCAACCAACTTTTACGTCATCGACAGTGAAATGGCAGACAACATTGCTGATGTTCGTGTACTTCCGTGTACAGATTCCAAATATATCAGACCGTTCAGAATTCATTATAAACAGGTTCGTGACGGATACGTGATTTTATTGTTTATAACATATTCAAACATTTATTTTATTGTGCGTTTGTTTTGTTTATCGACAGGATGGAATCGATAAGACGTGGGACTATATGAAGGTGTATAACAGGTGAGTCAAACGTGAATCCCTATTTCTAAATATATTAACAGCTTTCGCATGTGAAAAGGCGGGACATTTGAACTTGAAACTATCCTAAAGAATTTCGCATACTACTTTAGAACAGACTGGAGAAAATGTAAAAAGAAATTCATCCAACCAACCATGATGACTATGCCATGTACGGAAGTTTATTTATTTATTTCACCAGAATGACCATTATTACAAAACTTATAAACAAAATACAATAGTAGTAATTCTGGTGTGGACCATGGAAATAGTCCTTATAGACTAGTCCAGTCCATGGCCCAGACTGTCAAGTAGAAATTGACAATTTACTAGTAAAGGAAAGGAAGTGGGACGTAATCGAGGAATTTAACAAAGCAAATAATGTTTCATTTCATATTTAAATTTGTTTCTGTTGTTGATGTTTTTGAGGGAGTCTGGAAGTGAATTCCAGTGTTTTACTGCAGCAAATTTAAAATTATGTTGTGAAACTGTAAGTTGAGCAACAGGAATTGACAAGTTACTGCTAGATACCTTGTGGGATAGCAATCTGGGTAATCATTAACATACTTATTGAGGCTATGTGCATATCTGTTGTCGAAGATAAATAGACAGGTTTGTAATTTACAAAGTTTGTGAATATCAAGTATGCATAATTGGATAAAAAGAGGAGCAGAATGTGATAAGGCGTACAACTTTTTTTTGTAAGAGCAGAACTGGTTCAAGAAGTGTTGGGTATGTGTTTCCCCAGATTTCAATACAGTACATTAAGTGTGGGAGAATAAGTGTGTTGTAAAGTGGGATGAGAATTGAACTGGGAACATAGTGACGAATGCAAGATATAATGCTCACTTTGGGACTAATGGTTTTCACAATTTTTTCTATATGAGAATTCCAATTTAGGCATGGGTCACTGGTTACTCCCACATAAGTGGCTTTATAGACAAGATAAGTGCCAGGGGAGAGTCATATTCTTGGTTTATAGTGTGATGGATTGTCTTTTGTGTGCGTAACCCTTGTCTCGGGGTGATATTAGATACAAAGTTTTATTACCGGTAATGTCACAGTCCCTAGACTGTATATAAAAGTTTCTCGTATAAAATTGTTATATTACTACTTTACAATACTCGTACATAAGTTTCGTTGTAGATATACAGTAACATTGTAAAAAATGAAACCTCACCTGTGACCCATACTTGTGCCAAAAACTAAAAAAAATAAACATGATTTGTAAATAGTACTTTGAGTGTAAAAGTTGTTCCATTATCGAGTACTATTTATTAATACACTTGAATTAAGTGTTGATCATTAACAATTTTGGGTGAAGGAATGTTATTTTTTTCTGCACATAGCTTTGAGCTGGATCTTCAAATAAACATTTGTAAGATTTTTTTTTCGTACAATTCCTTGTGCAGATTTTTTTCTTTCAAATTTACCTCCAAGTTTCTAATTGTGAAGGCCTTATGCATTATTCTAAGCTTTCCCATGTTTCTTTTTTTTCAAAATAGACATCTTTCATTGTTTCATACAATCTTTTAAAAATAAATTTGTAACAATTTTTTTTTTCTGTTATCTTGGTCTGATGCGACATTACCACAACATGTCTAAGGAAAGCACCATGTGGTTTTTTTTGCTAATGAGTAGTATGATTGAAAACTGATGAGCAAAGAGAAGGCAGCTTTTCATCTTGGATCTGATTTATGCTTCCCTGACAAGTGGAATTTTTTGTGCAAATGCACGTTTGTTTCTCTTTTTTGAATATTTATTAGCAATGAATATGCCACAAAAAGGACCAGTTATCGAAATCAAGGATCAAGATTTTAAACTGTGAAAGAGATTGTGACACTGTCAACCACATTGGCTTTGAAAAAGTGACCTAGGTAGTCAAAAAGTTGGTTAAATTCTCCAGGAGTGCGTTTGCGTTGCTGCCTTTGGGTGACACAAGTGATGTGGTCGTAGTTACTCATGTCAATGAAAGGGCTCTCGAAGGAAGAAGAAAGTAGTGTTACATGATTGCATTGGTCTGTTGCATTTTATGTTTGAGAAAATTAGCTATAAATAATTTTGTTAATAATCATCATGAAGCTTCCCTGGCAATGTGAGCAGGGGTGGTAAAAACTGCCCAGTTGTTTCAGTTGCGAAAATGCATAGCAGTCGACCGAAAACTTGGAAGGCTTGAGGCGACCCAGGGCTCTCAAGGCAGTGATGTAAACATACTCCAGATTATTTATAGGGGCATCCTTATTTCCTAGTCGAAGGCAAATACTGCTAAAATGGCTCCCTGCATCAGAAAGATATGGTTAGTATGGTTTGTAACAAATATTTATTGTATTTCCATTTTAATGTTTCCTTTGGCTACACTACGTTGGTGCATATACTGCTGTGTACTATAAATTATTTAATATATAGCAGTGAAAATGAGGATGACGAAAATAATTACCTGAACAATGTTTTTCTTTTTTAGTGTTATTATTTTGATATTTAATGTTACAAGAAAAGTATTCATAATGGTAAAACAATTTAGACCAGGTAAGGCTTATATACACTATGCTGTTTTTTTGTTCCTTTTTGTACTTTACATTCTACCAACTTCAAAGTCTCAATGTAAAAATGTAATAAAAGTATGAAAGTTTGCAAAAGTTAACATTATTAAGATGAAACTGTTCACATTTGAAAATCTGACACCCGGAAGGCGTGTAATAATAAAATTATGACATTGTTAAAAATATTTTATGTGCAGTTGTGCATTTTAATTGTAAATATGTCACATGATTTTGGGTACATATTGTAAACAGGTTCTCTTTTACTGAATCATGAAAATTTTACAGTAGTTAAATATTCGTCAATGATATGCATTCTCAACAATATGTGAGAAAATAAATTTAATAACTCATCAATAATAAAAATATTGCAATATTGTGTTAACCTTATCATAAAAAATATATCAGAGTAAATGTATGCACTGTTTCAGACAAATTAAATAAATATTTAAAACCCTATCAGCTGTATCTTTTTGCAATAATTCCCCATGTATAACTCTTTTCAAACATCATTCTCATAACATAATATTGATGACATTTTAAAGTCAGTATATTAGATAATGCACTATTTCTTAGACTACACAGCCTTTTTTTTTCGCTTTTGAAATGTCAATATGTCAAGCTAATTATACTTATTCAACTTCTTAGCTGTGTATGCTGCTAGGGTTGAAGTAGAAAATGGTAGAATTGACACAACTAAGTTTCCAGGTAGTCTTGGAATGACCTTTGAACTCTGTGCTGGACTGGTTGATAAATCGGGCAGTATAGAACAGCTGGCAAAACAAGAAATTCTTGAGGAATGTGGATATGATGTAAAAGTGGAATGTTTAGAAAGAATAACTTCAACCAGGTATTTTTGTATTTTGCAAAAGCTAGTTTAAATTTAAACCACTGCTTTATTTGCAAATTTCCTCTATCAACATCATGTCCATCGATTTTACTTGCTATAATATTTCAGTAAAACTATCTATTGTATGCAAGCTTCACACACTTATTTTTACTTGCTTGCCTAAACAGGTTTGTTTGAAGAACGCTTTTGTCCAGGTAAATGCTCTTGAATTAGCAAAAACAATTTGCAAGAAATACGCACATGGTTTATGATATTGTATAACAGTATGTGGAATTTGAAGTTGTCCAACTACACAAAAAAAAATTGAAAAAAGCTCATAAAGAACCCCTATTGGAGGTGTATTTAAAACTAATTCAAAATTTAATATTAGCTTCAATTTAATAAGATTCAATTAATAGATGATATCTTCAGATATCTATGAAAAAACTGAAAATGTACTAATTATTATGCAAATTAGGTAATTAAAGGGTGGTGGTCGTTTCACAAGATATGTGACTTGTATGAACAAAGATGACACCCTTGACTGTACAAACTGAGGCGTTACTAAGCTTTAACTATGTAATTTCTTTATTGATTGGAAGGTGTCACTGGTGGTAATAAGTGCGTGCTGCGCCCAGGTCAAAACTCATACTCACAATTTCTTTCAGAAAAGCAAATTGGATTGTGGGAAGAAATCAATGTTTATCAACACAAATATTATAGGTGGTATATACCACATTTTATACATACATATGTACACACAGAAAAGAAAACTGCTCACTCATGTTGTGTGCTTTGCACACTGGAGTAAAATAAATGCACTTCATTCAATGGCAATAAATAATCAAAGAGATGGATTTCATTGTGGGAATATGAGTAAAAACACCCAACCATCCAAAGTAAATAGAAATTGATTATTCATATTTTATTCATTTACAGAAATGTTGGTACATCTGGTAGTCTACAGACATTATACTATGTGGAAGTGACAGATGAAATGAAGGTGGCTGCTGGCGGAGGTTTAACAGAAGAAGGGGAGATGATAGAAGTTATAGAACTCCCATTAAAAGATACCAAACACTTCATCATGGATGAATCTATACCAAAACCTCCCAATCTTCAGTTTGCATTTATGTGGTTTTATGCAAATAAGGCCAAAAATCATGAAAACTAATGATGTAAATAGAAACAATTGGTTACAATAACCGAAGAGCAATTTGACTTGCTTCTCAGGATGTAACATGCATTCCTTTACACTTCTGTATTATCGTATAATAATATATCGTATTGAGAATTATACACATTCATCTCTCTTTTATTATTGTTAGCTGAAAACAGGGACTTAGTTTAACCTCTGTGTATCTGCATTTCTCTCCACGCTTGTATGTTCATCAATCTCTCACAGTTCGGATTCAAAATAGTTTCATCCATGTTTTTTATTATTACTGTATTATTATGTGAAAGAGAGTGTGTAAATCTCAATGACTTGTTGTATTATATATTTTTGTAAGACTATTGATGTCTTTTACTAACCATTAGGATCTGATTATGTTATCAGTGTATAAACTATTCCATGGAATACTTTTAATTTGATTGAAATTAAAATATTTTTTAGATTATGTCTGAAGTGTTTTAAATTAACTTTATACTGTCCTTTACCCCAGCTGCCTCCATCTGTTTTCTCCATTTCTCTTTCGAAAAAATAGAGCCTGTTAACCAGCTGTTGCATTTATTTATTTACATGTATTACGAAAGTCACTTGCACTCTGTTTCATATGACCTCTGTTATAAAATTTCATGAATTTCACTGACTTTCACAAAATTAAAGCAGTTTACAGATTTTCTTGCCAAACAATATTATTTGTCAAATGAAAAACTAAACAACACAAAATAACCTACAAATAAATTTCTTCAAAGTGTGTTCAATACACATTACATTACATTGGGCTTGTGAATTATCAAATGATGCCAATAACTTGGAACAGGTGTGTAATCAGTTCTATCGTTTTGTTTTAGGCATCAGGGGTGAATTCGGCAAAACTCCTTTTAGAATGAAGGCCTCAGTTTCACAAATTAAATACTGGTATTGACTGGGCACTTTGTCTGGTAACATATCCATAAGGCTGCTTTAAATGAAACTCTAAAATCGCAGTCAACATGGATTAAACATGTAGACAACATATTAGGGGAACATAATAGCAAAATTGAAGAAAAATTTAGTGTAACAGTAATCGTCAAAAGTAATTAAATTAAAACTGACAAACAATTGCATGTTGTCTTGGAAAAATCAATTAACAAAAGCAAATAGTAAGGATGATAAAAGGAATAAATTAAGGACTTACTGTTTTGAGTTTGAAAATTATCTCAAAAATAACCTTCGAAAAATGTTAAGTAAATTTAGTGATCACAATCTAGAGATTGAACTAGGGAGAAGGAACAAACCAAAAGTTTTGTTAGATGACAGAACATATAAAAGCTGTAATATAAATTCTCTTGATGAGAAGCATTTTATCCTTAAATGCCCTTCCTTTAAAAGTGAAAGGAAAAGACTTTTTGAAGATTGTGATCTCAAGTCTAATTTACCGGATGACATTTTTCTTGAGGTAATGAAAAATGCAAAAGCCCTTTTACTATACCTTAAACATACTACCCTGGTATCTATAAATCAATCTACAAGTTGCGAGAATATTGAAGTTATTATTTTGATATTTCTTTAGTCTTTATTTTTTCAGTTTAACTGTTTGTTTTTATTAAATTTGTTTATTTATGTCTTGTTATTCTCTTTACTTTACTAAATCCTCTGATGATTTAGTTATTATTATTACTGTAGTTGGACCACCTAATTTTTGCTTAAGTTTATATTTTCCTCTAGCAAGTCAACCGTATGATCACTAGGCAGGAAATAGCTGTGTTGGTGTATCTATCTATTACTGGAAAGATATAAACCTACACCTTTGAATCTTTGTGTTTCCATGTTTCACATACCTGTTTATTAGACCCATAGACATCTTTATTTCTACGATTGAGTTACCAATGGCTGGACAACACCAAATGTTTCCCTAAATGCAGTATGTACAAAATGATAAAATCAGAAATAAATAAATACAATGTCATACATAATCTTTGAATATGCCTCAGTGACAACGTTGAAAACACGCCCCTTATAAAAATAACAAATGTAACGGTATTAAAAAACTACATTATAGGTACATGTATTGTGAATAAATTAGTAAATGTGTATGATAGACAGACTTGTATTGTACTAGTACTAGTCTTGTTCAGTTGAATCTGTTGTGATGTAGAGTTGGGAAAAGTACTCAAGTTGGCTTCTGATGAAACAAATTAAACAGGCTGGTTCACTAATTCAGCCAAATATGAACATAATTATTTGTTCAGATAGCTGATGTGAAATAATCTACATCTTTGCTTGTTTTGTTATTTTTATGTTCAAATTTTTGTTGTACCGGGTATATGGCTTCTTTTTGACTCAATAATAAGCCAGCAAACTAACTTGTTTGTTTGTCGACAGTCAACAAATAATTCTAGTTACTGATATAAAACAAGTGTCCCAAGATTTCACTCTAGATGCCGTCAATGCTAGTAAGATTTTGATAAATTTACAAATAATTCTTAAGTGTACATGGAATGTGTGGATTTCAGACTAAATTCACTTGTGAAATTAAGCATATATCAAGAATGTATACAACAAATTCACCAAAATTAGAAAAAATATATTGTCTTGAAATAAATAAATAAACCTCGAAAGATAGATGTTGTGAAGTAAAATGAGATCAGGGAAGGTACACAAAATGTTTTTCTGAATGAAGATGTATGTGCACATGTTAAACATAAAAGGCTGAAATCATCCAAAGAATACTGGTCAAAACTACAATTCATAAATTGAATAGCAAAGTAATTACATTTGTACTATAATAAACTGTACGACCATCCTGTAGGATAGTTTTCAGCTGGTGTGTACGGTTTTACCAGTACGAGACTAACTGATCCATGACCCTGCTGTGGTTCATAATGTGACTGATGCATGACCAATTTTAAATACGCCACTGGCACGCCTCCAAATGTGTCGGTAAAACCGTACACACCGATCAGTATTCGTTAATATCGGTAAAGTACATGTAAGACGTTGGTGAAATTTCAACTAGTATGTTTTATAAATTAAAGGGCAGTATATATGGATCTCATACAAACAAAGATGGCGACTTTGACTGTTGGGCAGATCAACCAGTACAAACTCAGACGTTACCAAGATTCAATTAGATATTATTTTTTGGTGATTGGAAGGCATCAAAGGAGTCAAAGGAAGAAAGAGCGCATTGGATTGTGGGAAAATCAATGTTTATCAACGCAAATGTCGCACATACGCAGCGCAACGACCACTGCCCTTTAAATTAAAGTTGGCTTTTCTTTCATCTGTTTTTTCCAGTTTCAAAATTGTGGAGGGAAATTGTGGGAGCCTTCATCCCTTTTGTTCACTAGCTAGCTATATAGTAAATTGTGTTAGAAAAACTCGGTGACAATTTGTTTTAAATCCCATAGAAACCTTGGAGCCAACAGTACCTTCAGAAGTTCTGAACTGGTTGTGGTTCATAGCTCCATGTCCGGCCGTATTTTATTTACCTATTGCCGACAAGGATGACCAAACAAGAAAAACGCCTCCAAGAACAAAATAAAGGCAGGGTCAATCGTCGTCGCAAGCTGGAGCTGTTGTGCCTCACGTACGGGTTACTGTCGTCTGCTGCTGTTTTATTTAGCGCCAAACGATTCAGAAATAAAGTAAATCTACTGACCCTGGTCACTTCTTGATATCGGCCTTACAAGTAAACTCGTAGAGCGGTATCACGAGATTTTCTTGATCAACGTGTTCTCGCTACTAAAACTCTACTGTATTACTCGTGCCAATATGTGAATATGTGGTTGCCATGTTATGACAAATACAATATTATTTTCTTTGTACATACGATGGTGGCGGTATAACAATAAATACCAAAAACAAAATATATTTTAGTACAGTGTTGTCATCTAATGACAAAACGAAAGCAGTTCATAATATGACCGTTAGTGGTGCTACCCAGTATTTTTAAAATGGAGACATGAGCAGCTAAAACAAAAGTATCTTGAGGAATCACGCTGGGGGCGATATAATACATTCAAATAAACAAATGAATTTCAATAGCTAACGCTGGTGGCGCAGTTGCAAAACTTGGTCAACTTACAAAACGAATACACTATAGACATCAGACAAATATGACAAATATTGAACGTTGGTGGTGTCACACGAATATAAAAACGATCGCAGTAGCATATTTCCACCGTAGGTAGCGCTGTACCTATTTTATTCATAGCACAACTCAAATGCGAACTTTTTACATTTATCAAGGTTCCGCAGTTATGGATAGACATGTCAGCATGAACAAGTTAATAGCATAATGTAATGTGTCCAGATGCAAGAAAATATAACTATGATACCCACAAATCGCCGGTATAAATCTAGAGTTTATGGATTCATCATGGTTACTTATTTATTAAATATGTTGCCACTGGATACCCGTGTCGCTTCGTTTTGGAATACGCCACAACACTGATTTACTGAGTTTGTTTTTAGTAACCGTGGATAAGGAACAGTGTCGATGGTATAA